TGATTGGTTGTTCACTGACAGCGGGTTACATATAAAGGGCTGTCAAGCGCGGGATGTTGATTCGGTTGTAATTGAGTTCGTAATAAAGCTGTTACAATTATAGCCGCCCTGCCAATCCTGTCAGTGTGTAAATTAGAATGAAATAGTGGCGACGAGGATGGGATTGCGAGCGGACCCCTGGGAGAAGAGTTAAGGGGTTTCCCATGGCGTTGGAATCCCTCACACATCGGAAGAGTTGGGCGAGCAGGAGAACGGGAGGAGGAAATGGCGGCGGCGCAGAGTTTTGCTCCTTTCAATTCGGCGAAGGAGTCCTGGGAGGCGTTTGTAGCCCGGTTTGATTGTTATTTAATCGCCAATGACTACCGTGAGTTGTCCAGCGAACGCAAACGGGCGTACTTCCTGACTTTCTGCGGCCCGGAGATGTTCGAGACGGCGATGACTCTCATGGCGCCGCAGTCTGTGCATGCCGGGACTTGGGAGGAGTTTATGTCAAAGTTAAAAAATCATTATGCCCCCGCGCCATCCCGAATCGCTCGCCGTCAGCATTTCTATCACAGAGACCAAGCTGACGGCGAGTCAATTAGCCAATATGTAGCAGCACTACGGAAAGCAGCTAGACATTGCCAATTTGTAAATCTGGACGATTATCTGTTAGACAGACTGGTAAGCGTCGTGAGGGATGAAAATCTCAAGAGGCGCCTGATTGCAAAGCCTGAGCTGTCATTTCAGGAAGCTCTTGATGAAGCGTGTGCAGCAGAATTAGCCAATCTGTCACTGGCTGATTTGCCCCGAGGCCAGTTTCCGAGTAAAAATATTGCAGAGCAGGTGCATGCTAATGAGATGGAGTTCAGCGACGACGATTACCCTGGGCTGGCTAATGATGTGGATCGGATTAAGGACGGCCAGCGCCCCACGAGGCAGGCTAGGCAAGCGCAAGGGGAATGCCTGAGTTGCGGGGGAAGTCACCAAAGAGCAGTTTGCCGATTTAAAGACGCAGCGTGCCATAGGTGTGGGCGCCGGGGACACATCGCACGAGTTTGCCGGGCGCAAAACCTGGCAGAGAAGACTACCCCCCCCCCGGAAATAGGCGGGGCCCTGCACGGCGAGGGGCAGGATCACTGGGACGCTCAGGTTGGGCTCGTGAACCGGGTGGCGTTAATGGGGTGTATCCTGGTTCTCACGAAACTACCCGACCGAAAATCAACTTCTCACTCACCATTGAGGGTCGCCCCTGCCGTATGGAAGTGGACACGGGGTCGGCTAATTCGATTGTGTCATGGAGCACGGTCAAACGGCTTGTACCCCGTATATCCAAGCATCACCTGAATCCCTGCCACCTACAATTACGGGACTATCAGGGAAACAACATTGCTATCGTGGGTTGCGGACAGTTCCGGGTTCAATTTAAGGAATTTTGTGGACGTTTGCCTCTGATCGTAGTGGAAGCACCATTACCTAGTTTATTGGGCTTAAACTGGTTTCAGGCATTGGGACTCGAAATTCAGGGGGTGAATGCGATAAGGCCGTCCGAACTGGACTCACTGGTCAAGGAATTCCCAGAGGTGTTTGATGGTAAACTGGGATGCTACAAGGGCTCCCCTGTCTCGTTCAGTTTGGATCCACAGATTCCCCCCCGCCGGCTGAAACCTCGCCGGGTCCCTTTTGCGCTGCAGGAGAGGGTTGATGCGGAACTGGATAAATTGATTGCGCAAGGGATATTAGAGCCAGTTGAATTTGCTAAGTGGGAAACGCCGATTGTGACACCAATTAAGGCGGATGGCTCGGTCCGCATATGCGCTGATTACCGGGCCACGTTGAACAAGGCTCTTCTCGGTCACGCATATCCTGTACCTGTGGTGCAGCATTTGCTGCACTCCCTGGGCATGGGGTCAGTCTTTGCGAAACTTGACCTGGCCCAGGCCTACCAACAATTACGGGTGGACGACCAGACGGCGGAAGCACAGACTATTGTGACCCACCGGGGGGCGTTCCGGTGTCGCCGCCTGCAGTTTGGGGTTAGTGTAGCCCCGGGAATTTTCCAAAGCATGATGGAACGAATGCTGCAGGGAATTCCCGGGGTCATACCCTACTTTGATGACGTCCTTGTCGCGGCCACGTCCACATCACAGTTAATGAGTAGGATGCGACAGGTCCTCCGTAAGTTTAGCGACGCAGGCCTCAAGGTTAATAGGAATAAATGTCAGGTTGCGGTGCGCCAAGTAGAATTCCTTGGGTTCCTGGTTGATGGGTCGGGGATCCACCCGACGGCCGCCAAAACATCAGCTATTATAAATGGTCCGCCCCCACGTTGTAAGGCTGATCTCCAAGCCTTCCTGGGTCTACTTAACTTTTATGCGGTTTTTATTCCACATAAAGCCACTATAGCTGAGCCGTTGCACCGACTCTTGGATAGGGCTGCGTGTTGGCAGTGGGGGGCCACGGAGGCTGCGGCTTTCCGTGCTGTAAAGAATCTCCTGGTCTCTAACGCAGTCCTCACGCAATTCTCACCTCACCTCCCATTGACCCTAGCCTGTGACGCTTCCCAGTTCGGGGTGGGGGCAGTATTAAGCCATAAACTGCCCTCGGGCCGGGAGCTGCCCATTGCCTACTTTTCGAAAACCTTGGCCCAAGCGGAGCGGAAATACTCGCAGCTGGATAAAGAGGCGCTTGCTTTGGTGGCTGGGGTCAAGCGATTCCACCATTACCTGTACGGCCGGCCATTTACTTTGTATACAGATCACAAGCCACTCTTAGGTATTCTGGCCGGCGACAGGCAGGCGCCACAAATTTTGTCTCCCCGGATGACTCGATACTCTGTCTTCCTGGCGGCGTATTCGTATAACTTGGTTCACCGCCCCGGCAAGGACCTCGCCCACGCAGATGCGTTGAGTCGCTGTCCCGTTCCTGACCTTCTCGTCGACCCTGTTCCTGTTTCCTCGATTCTCCTGTTGGATGACTCTCCCCTGATAATCACCGCGTCTGACGTCGCCCGTCTTTCAGCAAAGGACAGTGTTCTGTCGCAAGTGCTCGATTGGATGGCCAGGGGTTGGCCTCAGGGACCTTTTGCCCCAGAGTTTCGGCCCTACGCTACCAGACGTCATGAACTATCTTCTCAAGCGGGTTGTCTCTTGTGGGGGCATAGAGTTGTTATTCCCCCACCCCTTAGACACTCTTTGTTGAGCCAATTACACCGGGGTCACCCGGGGGTGGTGCGTATGAAGGCCTTAGGCCGTTGTTATATGTGGTGGCCGGGGTTAGATCAGGCCATCACTGAGTGGGTCGCAACCTGCTCCCAGTGCCAGGCGTGCATGCCCATGCCAGCCAAGGACCAGCCTGGGGAGTGGGAGACCCCGGGCGCACCCTGGTCCCGCTTGCATATTGATCTCGCTGGCCCGCTGCAAGGCCAATCATTCCTTGTGGTAGCTGACGCATTCTCCAAGTGGGTGGAGGTAGTTCCCCTACGTTCAACGACGTCAGAGGCTGTCATTAAGGCTTTACGCGTAATGTTTGTTACACATGGGTTGCCGGATTTGGTTGTTTCGGATAACGGGCCCCAATTTACGGCTGCCGAGTTCGAGGGATTCCTAGCTCACCGAGGAATACGACATTGTTTGATTTCGCCGTTCCATCCGTTTAGTAACGGATGTGCAGAGAGGGCTGTGCGTTCTGCTAAGGAGGCACTGAAAAAGATTGGCCACGGGACTTGGGGTGACAGGGTGGAGGAATTTCTATTAGCTCAGCACACCACACCCTGCCAGTTAACTAATAGAAGCCCCGCCGAACTTCTTATGGGTCGGAAGCTCCGCACAACATTAGATAGGCTTCACCCCTCATACGGGCACTCCAAACCGTTGGATTCCCAGCGGAGTTACCGTCAGTTCCAAATAGGGGATTTGATATACGCCAGGAATTATGGAGGGTTGCCATTGTGGCTAGCGGGGACCGTAGTAGGGATAGCGGGGCCATGCTCCTACCACGTGGAAGTAGAGCAAGGGAGAATTTGGAAGCGTCACAAAGAACAATTACGGGCGAGGAAGCAGCTGCCAGACGATAGGAGTAAGGGGGGCGAACTAAGCGACATGAAAAGCTCATCTGCAGCCGAGGTTACAAAGAAGCAGCAGGCAACCAGGGGATCATCCCAAGAGAGGGTGGAGACAGAGGGTTCACTCTCGCCGGACAGGGCCAGCCAACCAGAGGAAGTAGGGTGTGATAAGAGGACGCAACAGGAGGATAGTCTGTCACAAGGGGAGCAAGCTAAGTCAGCAACCGAACAGGCGGAGGGGGTGGAGCCAAGGAGATCTGGAAGGGTTCGCAGGCGTCCGACATACTTGAGTGAATACGACTGTGTGGGTTAAGAGTATATGCCAAGTTTGGTGGGAAGGAGTGTTACATATCTAGTTGGGTTGCTGGGTGTTCTGATTGGTGGATTCAGGGGGTGGCATCTGATTGGTTGTTCACTGACAGCGGGTTACATATAAAGGGCTGTCAAGCGCGGGATGTTGATTCGGTTGTAATTGAGTTCGTAATAAAGCTATTACAATTATAGCCGCCCTGCCGATCCTGTCAGTGTGTAAATTAGAATGAAATAAGTCCCACCAATTCAGCCACTGATAACGCTTTACATTTTCCTCCGTTTGAATCCACCAATCAGTTGCGGGCCCCGTTTGAATCCACCAATCAGTGGTGGGCATGCAAATGTCCAGCTAAACCTAGACCTGAGTGAAGCCTACATCCCTGGCTTCACTTGCTATTTAGATATGTAACAGTAGACATACATGCAGCTCCAAAACATACACAGAGAAGCCTCACTTCAGTAAGGTTAAAAACAAACAAACATCCAACATTTTTTAGAAGCTTTTGGAACACAATATAAAAACAACAACAGATTTCTCTTTTACGGAGTAAGAAATCTTCGGGGAAATCTGAATTCTTACAGTTGTAGCTGGATGTTTGAATACATCTGGCTTCAACATAGGTTGAATAAGTAGTGTTATACTTACCCTTGCAAATCTTACTGGCAGTTTATGAGTATTTTGCATGAGACCTAGCTGTAGAATAAGAGGAACAACCAGGAGGTTAGTTACCCTTCCTTTGGAAGGCTTTTTGTTTCAAATATTTCCAGAGTATTGTACTAAGCATCTACACAAAAGCAACAACTAAACAACTTTTCTCAGGTGTAGATTTTTTGAATGTTTCTCTGAGGAGCAGTTGCTTAGCAACTAGAGGCGTGTCCTGGATTATCGATGAGAGGACACTTTCCCTCTTGTTTTATATACAATATCTCACATTCTTTCCCCCATTTTGGCTAAATAAATGTGCTGTTATTGTATAATAACTTTTTAAAATCAAATAACATTTCAAGCCTATTATAGATTTGAGGCTATAATTCTGTCCTGCTTACTTGGGACAAAGTTCCAATGAACTTAGTATACATTTCTTCTGAATAGAAATTGATAGGATAACATTAATTAAATAATTCATCTCTCTTATTAATGTCCCTAATTAATGGGTTTAAGAAATAGAACCTTCATTGGAAAACCATCCTTTATTCCAATATTTTATGTACAAACATCTCTGAATTTTAATCCTACACCCGCTTCACTAAAACCTGTCAGGACAATTCTATGTAGGTCTTGGAATTTATTTCTACTATTTTTGTAGATGTTACTCTTAAGTTTATAGGGTTTTTACTTTGGTTGAAATCTATCCTCCCCCTGGGAAGATGAGATCTGTAGCTATAAGATCCCCAAATGATGTCTCTATGTCCTTTATTATTTTCAGGCATTAAAATAATAGTCAATGATCATTTGTATATGTATTAGGAATCAAGCTTGTTTTTCATCAGTAGGTGGGAGACTCTCCATCAAATATGTCTAACGCTTGCCGAAAGGCTAGCTCATTGCTGATTTTTAATTAGTGAACTATATATTGGCATTCCATCTATTTAAAACTAAAATCAATTGAAAAGCCTGTATCTTTTATAAATGATGGATGCACCTATAGCCCTTCAGCTGGCCTTATTCCTTATGAATATCAATGTCATAGACTTACACTATCAATGGAGATATTCTGCAATGCAAACAGTTTTATCCTATATGTTTTATGCTGATTTAGATATGCTTTTCAATGGCCCAACCTTTTTTTCATGGATCATTACCTTTTAGACCTCACCTGTAACAGGCATATCATAGATGTAGAACCAGACTAAATGTTATCCACTGGAAAAGGAATAGCAACCTACTCCAGTTTTCAGCCAAGAAAATCAAATGGAAATTCATAACAAGGACAGTGTCTATGTGACACTGGAAGATGACTCTTAAAGGAAATGGTATTCATAGAGTTACAGGGGAAGAGCAGAGGGCATGAATGATTAATACGACTGTTTATCATGTGGCTGGAATGAAGCCAAAAGGATGTCTAATGACTGACATGCCCAAAGATAAAAGATCATTTGATACTGTAAAAATATGTATACCATTGTTATATGGAATGTCAGAACTATGAACCAAGTCAAACATGATGTTGTCACAGCAGAAATTTCAAGACTGAACTGGGAATCAGTGAACCGAAATGGTCTGGCATGGGTCACTTCACATCAAAGGAGCCTCAGCTCTGCTTCTCCAGGCAATCAAAAACGCAGAAAAAACAAAGTAGCCATCATTACTAACAAAAGGGTATCAAAGTTAGTATCCCTCAAAAGATAGAATTATCTCTATTTGAGTCCTACGCAAGCCAAAATGATCCAAGCGAATGCTCCAATCACAGATTCGGAGGAAAGAGAAGTTGAATAATTACATTTCAATGTTCTCAACTCAACCCACAATAAAAAGTGACATGTTAATTCTAAGAGACTGGAATGCTAAAGTTGAAAATAAATTAGCGCTTAGAATAATAGAGGAAAGTAACAGCTCCAGTTTATGAAATAAAGCAAGAGACAGATTAATAGATTTCTGCCAAGAAATTTGATTTTTCAAAATATGTAGTTTTTATATTTATCCATGAACTATTCAGGTTTGAGAAGGGGGGAAAAAGCTTGATGGGTATGAATGCCACTGATCCTACATAAATGTAGATTGTAGATTTATTTTTAGGCAGAAAAGACAAGGAAATATTTTTCATGAAGCATTTATTATTGTTTTAAAATAAATGAGAGTAAAATCAGTGTATTAGCTATTGCAAAAACCATTTCATAGCTAATTTATGTTGATTGAATTAATAAGGTACATCTACTACAAACCTTTGAAAAGTGTGTGAAGAATTGAAGTCTATGGGAATCCACTAAACCTAATGCAAATGTGATGGAAGATCTGCGAGGCAAAAACAAGAAAACAAAAACTGTTTAGACCACATAGCCAGAATAAATAACGAAATCTTCTTGACAGCATTAAAAATAGAAAAATCTCCAGATACCACTATGTTGGTCAGCCTTAATTTCCGTCCCATTTTTAATATGACTTGAAATACTTGAATCACAAGGATTTCATTTTAGTCTAATCCATGCTGTTGATTAAAATTAAAGAATGAGGGGATCTGTTGCTGTTAATCAGGAAAAACGAATACAATGGGTTTTGTTGAGTTTATAAACAGTAAACAAAAATTGATTGATTTAATTTGCATGGTAGATTGTTATTTATATTGTACCATAACTTTGAAAGTATGAGGAACATATTTGGTTGGTAGTCATATTTTTCAAAGAATCATTTTATGCAGAAAATAAGCACATAAGATACCAATTCCATATGACAATATGCCACATTGAATTATTATTCTGGCAAGTATTAGTATTAAATGCTAGTCATCTAAGTAATAGATAATTCTACAACATTATAACAATATGCAACCAGGAAGAAATTGATTTTTATCCCACATTTACTATTTTTACAAATAATTCAAGGTGGCAAATATATCCCAACACACCTCCCTCCTTCTATTTTCCCAACAACAAGGTCACCCAACTGACTTTCATGGCTAAGGCAGGACCTGAACTCATGCTCTTCCAGTTTCTAACCTGGTGCCTTAACCACCAGACCAAACTGGCTCTCACTACCTTATTGATGACAATGTACCCTTGAAGTAAATCAAGTCACATATAAGCAGGCAATTGGTAGTACAGTGGTCTAAGGCACCCTGTTATTAAGCTGGTTATTAAGACCAGCTGCCTGCAATTACTGCAGGTTCGAATCTCGCCAAGGCTCAAGGTTGACTCAGCCTTCCATCCTTTCTAAGGTAGGTAAATTGTGGACCCAACTGTGGGGGCAATAAGCTGACTTTGTATAAATATACAAAAGAATGAAGGCTATTGCTTAGCGCATTGTAGACCACCCTGAGTCTCCGGAGAAGGGCGGCATATAAATCAATTTTTTTTTTAAAAAAAAATTCAGCCAATGTACTAAATGTACTAAATGTACTAAAATACTTGTTGAAGAGTGTCCTGCATTTTCATATGTCTTGTACTATAGGAGTCCCTTCCTAGAAGGTCATCATCTGCCAAGGGGAGAAAATAAAATGGAATTTTATAGGGTCGGGTGAAGAAAAGAAAAGAAAATCATAGATAGTTGGAGCAGCAAATTGTGATCTGCTGAAGAAGCAGAAGATAGTCATTGGAATTGGGGCAGAGGCAATGTATGAAGCTTATAAACTAGGGAAAAGAGTTTTAAGGCCTGGGGCTACAAAAATAATAAAAATTGTAATCTACGAGCTTCACACTATGAAATTTGTGTTCTACAAGGTTTTCCATCATGCAACGAATGTTTCTCTTTTAAAAAGATAGTCTGTAGGAAAGATGAAGGAAAAGAGATGCTTGAGTCTCAGATAGTCAATGGTAGAAAAAGGGAAAACAGAAGATTTATAGCTCATATCTGGCAGGTATGTAAGACGTGTTCCTGAATAAGATATCATGGCTCCTAGAAAACCTATGAACTGAAAATTAGAAACAATGCCAGTTCTGTGCTATTTACTCTCAGAAATATAAAACAACTGAGCAGTGTTGTTTTGTTTACCTCCAAGGCTGGTTCCAATCTTGCTGCTATAGATACAGTAAACACCTGTAATGGAGAATCATGAATCAGATAAATGCCATAAGCTCTAGGATCACGGACTCAAGCATCATTGCTAGCTTTGGGAACCAAGCCACATAATTTACTTCACCCAGAAAATATTCTCAATAAACATTAACATTTTATTATGAGACAAGGCTCTATAAAATTTGGAACCATGCTACATAATTTAACATTTGAATTAGTTTTGTTTTTTTTTATTTAAAGGCATAATCATCTGATTCTAGTGGTTTTCCAGATAGTTCTGATCTGCAGTACTAGAAATCTAGTTAATAATAATTAATCAGAGAAACAGTAGTTCATTCTCTATCTCTCCCCTAGAATGGGGAGAGGACTAGTAACCTGTTATTAGGATTTTTTATGATTATCCATGATAAAATGAAATACTGAAGCTGAAGGAGAGATTTAAAGACGCTGATGCCCAAAATTATGACATCAAATGTCTTATTGGTGGATCAACTATTGCTTCAATGCCATATTAAATTTTCAGCGTCTCATTCTAAAAAAAAATCCGTTTTTTTATTTCAGCCTCTGGTTTTAACTTCCTCAACTGGCAAACAACTTTTATCACCGATACATTTTTTCCTAATGCTTCAGAGAAGCTAAAATTTGATTTATTGGCATTTCCACTCATTTATTCAAACTCTGGAATGAAAGAATACAAAGCATTTTTCACTTTCTTTTTTTGCATGACAACTACTCAGATATTTTCTTTCACACAAACTAATTCCAATCTAGGATTTATATTTGCATTCCTGATACTTAAAGGAAGATGTTTATATTCATTTCAGTTAAACGTTTCCATGGTTTTGACTAAGAAATAACCACACTCTTAAATAATGAAGAAAATAATTCTGGGGCCTGTTGTGATATGTTCTTTGGACATATTTAATTTCTTATACAGTATGAATAGCATGGTTTTATTCTAAGTAGTCCTCAGCAACATCCAAGATTCTGGATAATTGCTGACCAAATTAAAATTTGTTGCTTTTTGAAGAGGTCCTGAAAGGTGTTGGGAGGGGTCTCACTCAAGCTCTCTTGAATATAATTGATGACATGAGAGTCATTCGCTTGATTGGGGAATTTACAGGCTAGAATGGCAGCCAGTTTGACCTTGAAGAAAAGACGAGGGAGAGAAAGTTATCATTGCTGGTTCTCAAAGGAACTAGAGAGTCTGCTGGATGTTTTCCATGCCACCAATCATTGGATGTTTCACAAACAGAGCCACACATAAAGCAGTTGTCAGGCATTCCAAACAAATGACACGGTCAAAGAGAATCCGTATTTGAAGAAACATCTCAGGACTGCTTCCACGGTGCAAGAGAGCTCTCTGGTTTTCTGGAGAATGTATAAATATATATGTTGGGATATAAAAGTTTTGTGGTGTAAAGAATGAAATATCCTATGAATATAAAGCCAGGCCAAGGAAGGAAGTGCCCTAATTCATTCGATCACTGATAAGGGACAATGATAGATTGGGAGAAAGTGACATTCAGGGCCAAATGATCAAGATGGCCCTCTGGACGTTTCTCCTCTTGTCCAGTATCTGGTATCATTGCTTCTGATCCTTTCTCCTTAGTAATGCTATTTCTGAATGCCAAGTTCCCCAACATCTCAATTACAATGATTGCAGGTTCGCATGGTCATGTGATTGATATTTTCAACTTTCACTGCAATTTCTAAGGAGCAAAGTCAAAAGGGAAACCAGCAGGAAGTTGCAAATGGTGATCACATGAGACGGCACTTAATCATGTAGAATTCACTTGACCGGAATTGCCACAACTGCCATCTTTGGTCTCTTTGGTTGTGACGGTGTCACTTAGTTGGCAGTCTTAATTACCATAGTTAAGCAAGGACTACCTATAGGTAGATCTTCATTGTAATGATAGCTGCATTCCTCAATACTCTGGAATCCATTAGTATCTATTAATCTAAGAATTGTAGAATAGGCTACAGAAGTTCAAAAGTAAGTAGGATATTCTTCAAAAAAAAATCAAGTATGCCCCACCCTTCATGGGGCAAGAACGCATTTGCTCACCTTTGTCTTGTATAGCAACTCTACCATTTCTAATGGAAAGAAAATTGGCTACAGTGGCTAATGATGAATTGCTTCCATTTCAAACTAATGCTCTGATTTATATTCTGTTACGATTTATTCTTTTTAAAAGATCTCAGCGAGTATAGTTAGGTGAAAATATAGGAGCGAGAGTTGGTGAGAAATGTGCTTTGTACATGATATTTAATTGGTCTGTGAAAAAATATGCTGGCTTTGATTAATAATTTAGTTCATTGTTCCAACTTTAACTTATAAAAGTGTAAATGGCTTGGGCCAGAGCTAAATGAAGGATTGCTTCTTCTGGACAAATCTGCTACTAACTTGCATTTATAATCAAAAATAAAGCTGGTGGGTACATAAGCTCAGGCCCTTTTCAATTCTGAAACTTCTTTCTAAGGAAATATACTCTCACTGGTCTCTTTTAATGGCAATAGAGAACATTTGATACTGTATGCTGATTTATTGTTCATTTTCCCCCCTGAGGCTGGCATATTTATTATCCTTGTGATCCTCTTATTTTTATTAGTTTAATTTTATTGCTGTGCCACCACGGACTCAACAACCTTCGCTAAAAAACGAAGGTTGGAGACTGGACGGTAATTGTTAAGAACCTCAGGGTCTAGGTTAGGCTTCTTAAGGAGGGGTCGAACCACCGCCTCTTTGAGTGCAGCGGGGAAGACCCCTTCCTTTAACGAAGCATTGACAACAGCCTGGATCCAGTCTCTAGTCACTTCTCTGGCTGCCGAAACTAGCCAGGAGGGACAAGGGTCCAATAAACATGTGGAGGACCCCAGCCTACCCATAATCCTGTCCACGTAATCCAGCAAAACAGGCTCAAACTCAACCCAGATGTCTCCACCAAGACTAGCCCCCGTCACCTCAATGGACTCTGTCCAGTCGGAGTCCAACCCAGTCCGAATCTGAGTGATTTTATCTTGCAGAAACTGTGCAAAATCCTCAGCACGGCCCTGCAAGGGGTCCTCCCTCACTCCCTGATTAAAGAGGGAGTGGGTCACTCTAAACAGGGCTGCTGGGTGGTTTTCTGCAGATGCAATGAGAGTGGCGAAATAGTTATGTTTTGCCACTTCCATCGCCACAAGATAAGACCTAATATGGGTTCTTAGTTGTGTTCGGTCAGACTCAGATCGGGAGGATCTCCAACCACCCTCCAGGCGTCTTTTCCGATGCTTCATTTCTCTGAGCTCCTCAGTGAACCAAGGAGCCGCCCAGGATCTGCGTCGGATCAGAGGCCGGAAAGGCGCGATTCGATCCAGGGCCCCCACCGCAGCCTGTTCGCAGGCCGCGACAAGGGCCTCGGATGAATTGTGGGCTAAGGAGATGGGAAATGACCCAAGCTCCATCAGGAACCTTTCGGGTTCCATCAGGCGCATGGGGCGGAACCATCTTACCAGTTCCGCACCCCTGCGACGGGGGATGGCAGTGGGAAAGTCAAGCCTAAGGAGGGAATGATGGGTCCATGACAGAGGGTTGATATCCGTAGAGAAAAATCAGGTCGAGTGTGTGTCCTCCAATATGAGTTGGGCCCTGTACAATCTGAGTTAGGTCCATGGCCGTCATGGAGATCATGAACTCCCGCACCAACTCAGATGTCTCACCAGCCGACGGCAGGTTGAAATCTCCCATAACCAAAAGGTTGGGGAGTTCCACCGCCAGTTCGGCTAAGACATCTAGTAGTGCGGGCAGGGCTGAGGCCATGCAGCTGGGGGAGAGGTACGTGATCAACAGTCTTGACTGAACTCCAGGGTCCCATTTCAAAAGAAGGGATTCACACCCTCCCATCTGAGGAACAGTGACCTCCCTAGGACTGAGAAATCTGTAAGAGTTATTAGATGTGTTTTAAAATGAAGAAACTTTTGGATGTACAATTCAACTCTAATTTCTGATGAATGTTTAAAACACAATTTCAAAGTGGAGATCTGGGTCATAACCTGTAGTCATGGAACAATTTCCCCCCCATCCCTGTTGGCACTTTGAAATGAAATGTCTAATCAGTAATAAGGTTCTTTACATTAGTATTTATGGAAGACTGAACTGTGGAAAAGTATTTTCTGACTGTGCTATGATTAATTTTCTTTTGATTAACAAGCCCAGCACACTGAGTTATATCACGTTACATAGCTTGATTTTAATTTTAATTTCCTAAATATACTCTTGTATAATTAATTTATAATAACAAGTTATTCAGCAAATGATGAGGATTAGCACAAAAATGTGATCACAACTAATGAGTGCAAGCCCTAACCTCCTTTAAAGCCGCCTTCATTTCCTTTGAACCACGTTCTCCCTCTTCCCTTTTATGCTGTGCTGTCTCAAGTGAACTACGGTATGTACTAGATTGGAAACCAAGACGTTTAACTAAGTTTAAAGCAAAGAACTTATTTTATCACAAAAATTGTTATAGAACTAAAGTTGTTAGTTTTCAGCTTCAACTACCTGGAACCTCTAGTATATATTTTACATATTAAGATTTTGACAAAGATGGAGAGACACTGAAGTTATGATATGTCTGTTATTTTACCATTTTTACTGTTTTAATTATCATATTTAATGCATTTTTTAAATGAACAGAAGAGTAGGATGTAGCTCTCCTGAAAGTTTGGGGAACCTGAAACCAATCTGATAATCACCTATATAGTAAACTACATAAAATGTGATTTTAAAACTTGTTAATATAGACTTCAGCAAAAGTCCTGGAGAGTTAAAGAGAGGTTAAGAAGTATGATGACATAATTATGCCAAAACAAATTGATACATATAATTGTGAAAATATTACTAAGTAGTTATGGCATCCTAATATATGAGGTTCTTGGTGCTCTGTGAACTTGGTTGTTTACATGCAGAAGTTTCATTACTTGTCTAGTGTTGGTGGGGGCATTGTTTTTTCTGTAGGAGTTCCTTTATTAGGATGCTT